ATGGATAGAAAATACCTTGCACCTGATTGTGAAGGATTCCTTGTAGGCCCCCAAATGTCAGCATGAATGTAATCCAGGGATCCATGTGTTCTTTTCTTGCCTTTGTTAAACTTCGCCCTACAGGATTTACCAAATACACAAGATTCACAAAACTCCAACTTTTCGAATTTGTCACCTCCTAACAGGTTCTGCTTCCCCAATTCGACCAGGCCTCTTTCGCTGACACGACCCAATCTCATGTGCCATAATTCTGTCTTCGACACAAGTTTCGTGGATGCAACATTTTTCGAACCACTTACAACCTCAGCCTCAAGGGTATACAAGCCTTGTTTCTTCACGCCTCTCAAGACTTCCTTCGACTCCTTCATGACTCTTAGGATACTTTTCTCTCCTTGAAAAACGTATCCCTTTCTGTCTAATTCACCAAGAGAAATCAAATTTCTCTTCAAGTCAGGTACATATCTGACTTCAGTCAATAACCTTATTGACTCATCATGGAGCTTGAATATCATAGATCCAATACCTGCAATTTTGCAAGATTTGTTGTTTCCCAGCAGCACAGATCCACCATCTTGATCACATAGTTCCTCGAACAATTCTCTGTTTGGAGTCATGTGCCAAGTGCAACCTGAATCCATAATCCACTCTTTTCTCGAGTCGCCACTTGAAACCACAAGAACATCAGATGAGTCGAAGTCATCTTGAACAATGGATGTGTTTCCATTACCTCCATGATCTTTCAGGCGTTCATGGAACACCTTTCTTGTTTGACCCTCCTTCTTACATTTATAACATCGAATACCAGATGTTTCGCCACTATAAGATTCCTGTTGACTTTTACCTTTCTTCTTATCGAACTTACCGTCCTTTCGCAAGAATTTTCCCTTAACGGCCAAACCTTCACCCACCGTCGAAGGTTTATGCTCCTTTCGTTCATTCAAGTCCTTAGAATACAAGGTTGATTGAACTTCTTTAAAGGTCAGACACTCCCTTCCATATAAGAGAGTTTCTTTGAAGTGAGCATGAGTTCTAGGCAAAGCACACAACAACAACAATGCTTGATCTTCATCATCGATCTTCACATCAATATTTTCAAGATCAAGAATCAGCTTATTAAACATATCCAACTGCTCAGCCAACACTTTGTCTTCACTCATCTTGAATGAATACAAAGCTTGCTTCAGGTATAGTCGATTCACCAGAGATTTGGTCATGTACAAACTTTCAAGTTTCACCCATAATCCCGATGTTGTAGTCTCTTTTGATACCTGTCGAAGAACCTTATCACCAAGGATCAACAATATTGCAATGTGGGCTTTCTTGATCATGCCCATATTTTCTTTTGCCGTTAACACATCGTCCATGGCTGCCTCACCCATCAGCGCTTCCAAACAACCCTGTTGAACTAGTAGGGCTTTCATCTTCAAGCGCCACAGGCCAAAGTCGTTCACTCCAGTGAACTTTTCAATCTCATACTTTGATGAAGGCATCTTCTCCATGCTCACCACACCAATTTATTGTGAACCGGATACCTTATAACAAAGTATAAATGGTTTCTTAATGATCAAGAAACACACAAGGGTTAGGGTTAACAAAGAAAACAAGGTAAAACAACAAGGAACACCAAGGATTGGTTATTAAACTGCTATTCTTTCCTTTCTCTTAGAAACAAGATTACAAGTATACAAGAATAAAAAAATAATCTCTCTCTCTTGAAATTAGGATTTTATCTTCCTATTTTTCCTTATGCCAAGATTGAGAAACTAGCATCCTATTTATAAAAAAATAGCACACTAACCTAATGGACTTTTTAACAATTACCCATTACAAGCCAACTTAGGATACAAGCTAACTTAAACAATTAGGCTTACAAGTAAGGCCCAATTCAACATGCTAACGACCCTAGCAATATTGACTAATGCAGTTTATAACAAACTTCGACTACAACACGCATTACTCCGACGGCAGCATGCGAACATACTTCGACCTCATGCTTAATACTTGTCGAACCAAAAGCTACCCTTCGACTATACTAGAGTTCGATCCAACATCTCACAGTTTTAGTAATCAAATTATTGCAAAATAATTCAAGTTTTTTTGAGAGGTTGAAGTCAACTGTTCTTTGTTTTAGTGTTTAAGTTGTAGTAAAACTTGCATTATTCAAAGTTGCCAAGTTAGTTGTATTCTTTTGTTACATGATTTAGTTGGACAAGTTAAAATTGCATTATAGTAAAATTTGTGTTCTGTTGTTATATGATTTAGTTAGACAAGTTAAATAACAGAAATTTGGTATAACAGAAATTTGATTAACATAAACCTTGTTAAAGTTTGAGAAACATAAACCTAGATCAAATGGAACATAACATAAACCTTGTTCAAAATACCATAACATAATTTGTTACAGACACTTGATATCAACATAAGTTGTCACAGACACTTCAAAATAACATAACATAAACATTTCAAAACAGCATAACACCAACCATGTTCTTAAAACAAAAACTACATAAATCTAAATGGGTTTCTTTGTGTTGTTTTTGTTGGTTGGAGTGGTCCTCCTAGTTGTAGGTCCCACCGCATTTTGTGATGCACTTAGTCTGGTGGTTAGTCCCTTTGAAACAGAAGCCATTGTAATAGATGTTTGTCTTGATTTCCTAAAAGGCACCTTTTGTGGCCTTGCTTGTGATGGTGTTGCCCTAGGCTGACTTGCTTGAGTTAGGGTTGCCCTTAGCTGAGTTCCTTGAGTTGGTGTGGTGTCTGAGTTTCTTGAGTTGGTGATGGTGTTGCCCTTGGTTGAGTTCCTTGAGTTGTGGCTGGTGTTTCCCTTGTCTGAGTTCCTTGAGTTGGTGTTGCGTTGACCTTGGTTAACTTCCTTGAGTTGAGGTTGGTGTTGCCCTTGGCTGATTTGCTTGAGTTGGTGTGGGTGTTGCCCTTGGCTGAGTTTCTTCTGTTGGTGGATGAGTCCTCTTACAAGTGAATTTATTGTGTCCAGTCTGTCTGCACCTTGTACATCTAAGTATCATGCCTGTTTTTCTCATTTTTCTATATGTCCCATCAATTTCACTATGCTCAAGGTTCCTCCTTTTCTTTGGTCTTCTTGGCATTTTTTTTAAAATTTTGGTGGCTGCACATCTACGTACTCTATTCAGACCCATAAATTTGTTCTATTAACAGGATAAATGATAGGTTCTTTAACAGAAATATACATTGCCTTCTTATAATACTCTGGGATGTAATCATCAACACTTAGATTTCTACTCTTCATTGCAGACAGAGCATGAACACAAGGGAGACCTGTCAATTGTAATTTTCTGCATGAACAATCACGTTCCTTTAAGTTGACAGGAAAATATCACCTTGATTCTTAATGTGTCTTACTTCAAATATAAACTCAAATGACATCCTACAAAATAGTATAAAAAGTCACAAAGTATAAAAACTAAAGTAATTAAGAAATTGTATTAAAGCAGTTTTTGTACCTTATTATCCAGTCATTTGTGTAAGTGCTTATTTTTTCCACTTTCTTTCTAATGTTTGGCAAAACATCCCCACCCATCACTCTAACGCACCCTTATCATCCTTAAGAACATTTATCCCAAAAGTGGGGTCATTGTAATATATAGTGTCTACCTCAATGTAACCTAGGTCTTTCAGAACACCAACCAACTCAAAGTATGACCACCTATCCACATCTATCTCTAAATCATTAAATTTACCCCCACATAATCGGTTTTTTTCAGAGTCCACAAATTCACCACTATGATGAATTTTCAAACACAAAATTTCTTCTATTTCTACCTAAGACAAGAAAATGCAACATTACATACAAAAAAACGCAACATTACATACAAGAAAACGTAACATAATAGCATATTTCAAAAGGGGCAAAAAATCCTAGATACCTAATGAAATCAAGAAAACGGAACATTTACACACATTCATAGTAGACAAGGACATGTAAACTAACTGTCGTATATGTTGCGTCTTCGTCTTCCTCAGCGCATCCTTCGTTCTCTCTTCGTGCTCTTCGTCGTTTTCACTTGCTTCTTCTCACTTCTTTGTCTGCTAGGGCTTCCTATTTCAACATATGTATTAATCAATCAATTAAAATGCTAATATTATGCTACTTCAGATGACAACTCAGCAAAGTCAATATTCATCATGCCACATAACCAAACCATTCATTACACCTCACTAATAACTTAACACGTCAGACAGGTTTTTGATAATAATCTAATGTTTTTAATAGAAAATACTAACCCGTACCATTTTAATAACGTAAGGGACCAATTTAAAACTTTTAAAAAGAAGAGGATTAAAATGACCCAAGACATAGGTAGGAGACCAAAAAACAATATTAAGCCTATAATAATAACTTAACGTAAAAATTATAATTAAGAAAAGTTAAATCTATAAAAAAGAAAGTATAAAACTGCACTAGGATGAAAGTGCATCTATATAGCAACAATGATATTCAATGTCCATTCAACACCCTCATTTTCCTTCCATCTATCATATCACGAGTCACTAATATCATATTACTCTTTCTTTTTCTTTCTCACTCAATGTGTATAACGAGTATATAGGTGTAAAAAGAATACACAGTTTCCATGCATGATCACATTAGAAGATGCAATTACATTTTTTTTACTACAACTTTACAAAATTAAAGTTAATTAGTGTAAGTTAATTTTTTTATGCTTATAAACAAAACAAGAAGCATAAGGAATAATATTGGTAATATACGGTGCTACTATAGCACAAAGGACAACACAACACACAGCACACAAATTTGAACCATAAAAAAGCAATATGCATCACTCGTTACCATATGTGGTTCTCTAGCTCTGCAGACAAAACATGAACATCCTTTCCCTTCATTACATAAACACAAGCCATGTTGATCAATTCCTATGCAACAACATTCAAGAAAAACATCCTTTGAGTTTAAGAAAATTGTCCAATATATAGTATAGTGTTACTGTTTACTGTGTTACGTAATGGCTGGTAATGAGTGGATTAATGGTTACCTTGAGGCTATACTATCAACTGGCGGCGGTGCTTCTAGCACTGTCGAAGAGCAGCAAAGGGTGGCGGCTGCTGCGAGAGAAAGTGGTGATCAGTTCAATCCAACTAAGTACTTTGTGGAAGAAGTGGTGAGTGCTGTCGACGAGTCTGATCTTCATCGTACATGGCTCAAAGTTGTTGCTACTCGTAACACGAGGGAACGTAGCTCGAGGCTCGAGAACATGTGTTGGCGTATTTGGCATCTTGCTCGCAAGAAGAAACAGGTTTTTGGTTTTTACCATTCAGTAATCATAATCATAATCATGATAGTATTTGTATTGGTCTGTGTTCGATGAATTCGGAGACTAATGGGGTGATCATTGTAGGTGGAAGGGGAAGAAATTCAAAGATTGGCATACAGAAGATGGGAAAGAGAACAAGGGCGAAGGGATGCGACCGAGGATTTGTCTGAAGAGTTATCAGAAGGAGAAAAAGGAGATGGAGTTGGGGAGATAATACAAATTGAGATTCCACAGAAAAAAATTCAGAGGATTAATTCTACCTTGGAACTGTGGTCTGATGACAAAAAGGAAAAGAAGCTTTACATTATCCTCTTAAGGTATAATGTTCTTGTTCTTGTTCACATCATATAGAAATAATCATATTATAACTGATATCACTTTTAATATACGTGCTTAAAGGAATTACGAATCACAGTTGTCTCAAGTTTTAGGAGGCCCTGTGTAGATTAGTCGCAGTTTAACAGTGACAAAATTTGGGCGACGCTCTCAAAGACGGCCCTGTAACGAACAATATTACTATATTTGAAGCTATGATCATATATGTAAGTAAATGCAGTGTTTGAGTATTACCTTGAATTCTTTATAGTTTGCATGGATTGGTCCGAGGAGAAAACATGGAGCTTGGTCGAGATTCTGATACTGGCGGACAGGTATATGATATTCTTACAGAATGTGTGTTTGATTCTGCAGTGAGAAAATATTCTTTTTTGTAAAATTGACAAAAAAATGTATTATCAGATTAAATATGTGGTAGAACTTGCTCGAGCACTAGCTAAAATGCCAGGAGTATATAGAGTAGATCTCTTTACGCGTCAAATATCGTCTACTGAAATTGATTGGAGCTATGGAGAGCCTACAGAAATGCTATCAGCAGGTCAAGAGGATGAGAATGATGATAGCACTGGCGAAAGCAGCGGTGCATATATCATAAGAATACCGTTTGGCCCGCGCAATAAGTATCTCGAGAAAGAACTTCTATGGCCACATATACAAGAATTTGTAGATGGAGCTTTGGCTCATATTCTCAACATGTCAAAAGTATTGGGCGAACAAGTCGGTGGTGGACAACCTGTATGGCCTTATGTGATTCATGGACACTATGCGGATGCTGGTGACAGTGCTGCGCTTCTTTCGGGCGCTTTGAACGTTCCAATGGTTCTAACTGGTCATTCACTTGGAAGAAACAAGCTTGAACAGCTTCTTAAGCAAGGGCGACAATCGTTGGAGGATATCAATTCGACGTATAAGATAATGAGGAGGATCGAAGCAGAAGAGCTTTCTTTGGATGCTGCTGAACTTGTCATCACTAGTACTAGACAAGAAATCGATGAGCAATGGGGACTTTACGACGGGTTTGATGTCAAGCTTGAGAAAGTTTTGCGCGCTCGTGATAGGCGCGGTGTTAATTGCCACGGTCGTTACATGCCAAGAATGGCGGTAAGAAAATCATAGAGTTTGATTTTTTTTATTCACATTGCCAATACTTACATGAAATTTTTGTAGGTTATTCCTCCGGGTATGGACTTTAGCAATGTAGTGAGACAAGAAGATGGCCCTGAAGTCGATGGCGATCTCTCGCAGCTTACCCGTCGTGCTGATGGATCTTCACCAAAAGCTTTACCTGCAATATGGTTAGAAGTGAGTAACTGATACTATATGTTAGAGTTCAAGTGTTAGTGGTTAGTCTCACATTGAATTAAAAATGAGTTTTTTTTACAAATCCTCACAAGCCTATGATATTATGCAGGTGATGCGTTTCTTTACAAATCCTCACAAGCCTATGATATTGGCCTTATCAAGACCAGATCCAAAGAAGAACATAACAACTTTGCTAAAGGCTTTTGGAGAATGTCGCTCGTTACGAGAACTAGCTAATCTTGTAAGTAACAACTTAACATAATTCAATTGCAACATTTGGTGAAACTATGAACAAGCACTTATCAAATGACTAATGTATGTTCTCAACTCAAACAGACTCTTATAATGGGAAATAGAGATGACATAGAAGAGATGTCTTCTGGAAATGGAAGTGTTCTCACAACTGTGTTGAAATTGATTGACAAGTATGATCTATATGGACATGTCGCGTATCCTAAACATCATAGACAATCTGATGTACCTGAGATATATAGATTTGCTGCTAAAACAAAGGTATGCATATATATAACATAACACACTTCACATTCTCTTAATAATATATCCAGAGCCGTCTTAAGTTTTCGGAGACTCTGTAGATTAGCCACGATTTAGCTGTGGCAAAATAAATAGAGGTCTTATTTTCTCATAGTTTATCAGTGACAAATATTTTATGATGCCATTTTTTAGCCATATTTTTGTCCCTTACCGTTAGTCCTTGAATATATCCAACTAATTAGTTTGATGTTTTCTCTCAGGGAGTTTTCATAAATCCTGCTCTAGTGGAACCTTTTGGTCTTACTTTAATTGAGGTAAGTTTTAAATAACTTGCCACTTTGGTTATACATTCACATTTTAATGTCATGTCATAATGTTGTTAAATACGTTTAAACTCATGCAGGCCGCTGCACATGGATTGCCAATGGTGGCCACTAAAAATGGCGGACCAGTTGACATTAATCGGGTAATTGGAGAATTAACTTTATATATGTCTCTCGACTTAAATATAAGCAAAAGCGTACATATAACTGATTCATATTTAGATCAGATACATGTATTTTTTTGCTTATATTCATGTCGTGAGTAGTATATTTTAGTTACGATATTGAGCATAATAGGAAATTCATATATGTTACAACTAGTGCTATTTTCTTAGATGTAATCAAAGCATAGGGAAAATAAATAATGACTTTGCATCTTCTTATTATGTTTCTTTGTTATAATGTTAGGCTCTCAACAATGGTTTGCTTGTGGATCCTCATGATCATCACGCAATTGCTGATGCTTTGCTCAAATTGTTATCAGAGAAAAACTTATGGCATGAATGCAGAAAAAATGGTTGGAAGAACATTCATCTTTTCTCATGGCCCGAACATTGTCGAACTTATTTGACACGTGTTGATGCGTGTCGAATGAGACATCCACAATGGCAGAATACTGCTCCAGAAGATGATGTAGATGTAGATGCTGAAGAGTCTTTCAATGATTCACTTCGAGATGTTCAAGATATGTCGCTCAGGCTCTCGATTGATGGCGAATTCGTTGCAGCAAATAGCGGTGGTAACGGTCTTGATATGCAAGACCAAGTGAAAAATATTCTAAGCAGGATAAGAAAGCAAGATTCTGGTTCAAATAGTGACATGTTGCTTGATAACGTGCCAAACAAGTATCCTTTATTAAGGCGGAGACGCAGGTTGATTGTTATAGCACTTGATTCTTATGACAGTAATGGAGATCCCGATAAAACATTGATTGAGATAGTTCAAAGGATAGTTAAAGCTGTTCAGTTAGATCCTCAAACCGCAAGAGTTACGGGATTCGCTCTGTCAACCGCTATGACAATGCAAGAAACGAAAGAGTTTTTAACATCGGGAAATGTTCAAGTAACTGAGTTTGATGCTATAATTTGTAGCAGTGGGAGTGAAGTTTATTACCCCGGTGTTCACACCGAAGACGGAAAGCTTTTGCCTGATCATGATTATGACGTGCATATAGATTATCGTTGGGGCGTTGAAGGTTTGAAGAATACTATTCGTAAACTTATGAATGCCTCCGATGGAGAAGAAAATCATGGAAAAACAGTTAGTCCTATTGAGGAAGATTCGAAATCAAGTAATGCACATTGTATTTCATACAAAATAAATGATCTTAGTAAGGTAAGTGAAATTTACTTATATGTTTATTTGCATTGCATAATAACACCGAATAAGTGCAGGTTAGTATCACAGCGAATTTGACAGAATCACGATGGTTCATTCATTCACTGTGAATTAAGACACACACTAATTGATTGTTTGGTATCACGTTTGATTGTCAGAATCACAGTAATCACAATGGATTACTGTGATTCTGGAAATTTTAACTGTGATATCAAACATGTTTTGCTTGCAAATTGATCGAAATGGTTCTATTGATTGTTTCTTTTAGGCGAAGAAAGTTGATGACTTGAGGCAAAAGCTTAGGATGAGAGGTTTAAGATGTCATCCGATGTATTGTAGAGGATCTTCTAGAATGCATGTTATTCCTCTTCTTGCATCTAGAGCTCAAGCACTAAGGTAATACTTCATAACAAACTATCATGTTTTGTACTTTGCCTAAAACCGCGTACTGGTGCTTCACAAGATACCATTGTATTTTAGAACTTGACTTGACAACTTTGGTGTAAATGTGTTAGGTATCTGTTTGTGCGATGGAGATTAAACGTCGCAAACATGTATGTGATCCTAGGAGAAACCGGGGACACTGATTACGAGGAACTGATTTCGGGAACACACAAGACTATAATAATGAAAGGTGTTGTGTCAAAGGGCTCAGAAGAATTGCTTAGAGGTCCAGGAAGTTACCAAAGGGATGATGTTGTACCAAATGAGAGTCCTCTTGTGGCATATGTAAGTGATACAAAAGAGGAAACTATTGCAGATGTTTTGAAGCAACTTTCAAACTCTGGAGGGAATTGAATGCTTATGTATATTTGTGTTTTTATCTTTTGTGATAATAAGTGATACTTATTTTTCCATGTTTAAAATGGAAATTGGATGTAATTAATTATCTATTACAATTATGCATGAATATGATCAAAATGTAGATAAATTATTGTTTTCTTGTTGCATAATTTTTATTTGTTAGAACATGAACAGTAGTTGGATACAATAATAAGAACATAAGTTTTGTTCTAAAATAAAAAATATTCATTAATACTATAACTTGAATCTATTAAATGTTTTTTTATAAAAATAAATATTTTTTAAAAAAGTATTATGGTTGTAAAATTGCTTGTGAGGCTGGCTGAGTACTAGTAACTAGAACTTTTTCTTTTCACGGCATTAGCAGATTTCTTGCTAATACCAACTGATTTTTTCATTTAAAAGTCCTTTAGGCCTCTCATGTTACATGAATATATAAGTTAGTACAAATGTGCATTTTTTTAATGTAAGATGAAATAATCTAAACTTACAATATGTAAAACGACTCTTTTTTTTTTGCGGTCTGGATATTTGTTGTCTGACTTGTTTGTGTTGATAGCTCTTTATCATCTTTTACATTTTTGGGGTCAGATGTCTTACTTGTACTAATGTTGTGTTTATATTCTAAGCACCTTTTGCAACATTCTTCATTTGATTGGTGTTGGAGGAGAATATAGTTAGGTTCTGGCCGTCTCTAGTCCGAGGGTTCTTCACATCTTTATCATTGGGTTGATTTAACAGGGTGGTACCTGCAAGAACTCTGACACCTACGTTAGTGATGGTAAGAAATGAGCGGCATAAAGTTGTAAGAAATGTTTGTGTACCTTGATTTAACATTTGTGGTCCTTTATATAAAGACTTATTTGAGTTTTTGAAGACCAACAATCCTTAGCTTCAATCATATTTGTCCGAGCAAACAAATGTCATAGTTGTTCGAGCAAACAAATGTTAGTATATGATTCGTTTTTTTATATGGAGGCTCTACTTTGGTTTCCTGCCTGAATCAAGTGCTTTCTATGGTAGGTATATTCCTGCTCCACAAGTCTTAAAACTTTCGCTCGACAATCGATATAGATATTTTGTCCTCTAGAGTTATTGACCTGATGTCACTTTATCACAAATATCTTTACATTTGGTCAGTGATTATAGTGTACCTCTTCTCATTGGGTCAAGTTTGGGGCTGAGACTAGGTAGGAACAATAGCACTCAAACCTACTCTAGTGAAGTCGTAGTGAGGCTTGCGATTTTGTATTGTTTTTGCTTACCTTTTTTAGAGCTTTGGGTTCTTTTGTTTCTAACGCTACTTGATCACCTTTCCCCTCCTAAGTGTGATGTGAATCAAACTTCTTTTTCCATGTTACGCTCTGATTTTGCAGATAGCCCTTATTTTCAAATCATCCCCTAAATTTTGGTTGAGGTTCCCTTTGTAGGGCTACTTATCTTCTTTTTCATTTATTATAACCTATTTCAATCTTTCCCTTAATATATATAGGCATATGACACCCTCTTCCAAAGACACTAAAATTAATTATTTCATCTTAGGAAAATATAATTACTCATTTTTTTGGGACATGTGTCAGTTATAACTCTTCATTGACTCTAAAGGTTTTTTTATATATTATTACTTTTAATATTGACGTTTTGTCTCCCTATTCTCTACAAATGGCTTACTTCTCACATATTCAAACGCCATGCTACTATCCCTGATTTGAATAGTGGAGAGTGGGCTCAATTGCTAATATCTCTTTCTGAAATGGACATCACTTGGTACCCTAACAAATTGGAAGTGGGTGAAATCATCATGAGTTGCGGTAGTTTTTGTAACGTGCCATTGATTGGATCAAAAGGTTGTATAAGCTGCAACCCTAAACTAGCTATATGATAATTTGAGTATCCAATGTTGGGGAGACCTGAAGACAAAGAGGTGGGAGAAATGATCCTTCATGAAAGAGGTGTCAAAGATCCTTCACTTCTCTGCAAGATTGTACGATCTTGGCAAAAAATTCATACTAAGGGATCTGAGTTGAGAATAATGGATGGTATGGCCAGGATGCCTTATCAGCAGTGGGTTCTGGAAAGGGTCAAAATGGTTAAGCTCCCATTTTCTATTAAAGTGCCTCCTAGACCCACCACTCCACAACCCGTGCCCATATCAATGGAAGAGGTGGAAGAGTTGAGACTCAAAATAGCCCAATTAGGGGGGAAAATGAAGATTTTCAAGTAAGACTTCAAGATGTGACTAATGAAAATAACAACATGAAGCATGAGATTGTGAGAAGGGACAGTCAACTTGAGCAAATGGAAAGCAAATTTGACAAAAAGGAGGGTAAGAGAAAAAGGATCAAAGTGTGCATCAACCAGGCTGACAGTCATTTAAGTTCCTTCAAAGAGCAGCTAGACTACGCTCATGGAAAATGGCGAGAGAATAAACAATGGTACATTTTAGCCACTAAGAGAAACAAGGAGCTCAGAGAGACATTAGGATCTGAGATTAAGGTACTTAGTGATGCGCTACGCCTTTCAAGAGCTGGTGAGGATAGAGAACGTCAACTCAAGAAAGAGGCCCTAGATTCATCTTGGGTCAGACCAGCTGATTGGCGTAAAGTATGTGCTGAAATAGATGAGTTCAAAAGGTTTTTTAAATACCAAGAGAACCAGATAGGAGCTGTTCCGGAAGACAAAGCTATATGGTCTGCTACGAGAGATTAGGTAGCTCACAATGTTGCGGCATATGAGCAATCCATTCACATCATGAGGAAAAATCGAGACGTATACCGCAACATGCTAAATGGGTTGGCGGAGTTTTGCAATTGGTTAGCCAAAGATCTGGTATGGAAATTTAGAGATGCCATGGAAGCCATGGATGACTCCGCCGCTCTGGCCATTTGCGAGTTCATATACTTGTGCAAGGAAATGTTGACAAGATTCAAAGAAGAGATCAATGAGCGAGAAGCAAGAAGAAAAGAAGCTTGAAGTTTTCTTTGTTTTATTTTCCTTTTGTTTGAATTGCGTATTTAATTTCCCTATTGGCTTGCACTCTTGTTATGTTGGCACAATGTAATAGAACAATCTGAATGAATGAGAGTGATTTCTTTTAAATTCTTTGTTCTCGTGATGTTTGAATAATTGATAAATAACCGCCATTATAAATGCTTCCCTAAAAATAAAAACGCAATCATAAGCATAAAGCATAAACATAAGCATTTTGCATCTTCACCCGGTATTGCAACTCATTGGACTTTGTCTTTCTACCTTCAGAAAACTAAAAGCTGACTACTCGACATCGCTACGAGACCAAGCGCAACTTTCGAATGACGCTGGAACAAATTGAAGAGACCCAGAACAACATGAGGGGTGATATTGACGCCCTCAAGGCGAAGATGGGTCAACTTCTAGAAACAATGATGACGTTAGCCCGTAAAGAGAGCAATGCTGAGACCATGGTTGATGCCAAGAGAACTACTGACAAGATAGGAACTTATAGAGTCATTAAAACTCCCCCTTTTATCCACGTGGATCTGGCTGAACATTCTACGTATGTCCATCATGGCTCTGAAGCAGGAATGGATGAGCAATATGATGCCTTCTTCCAGCCTCCTCCTCCTCCTCAACATAATGTGGGGGTTGCAACTGACCTTTTTGCGGATAGACTACAAACTGTTGAAGAGAAACTCAGGTCATTGGAGGTCAAAAAAAACTCCAGGCCTGGATGCTATTGACATGTGTCTAGTTCCTGGATTGGTGATACCAAAAAAGTTCAAAGTCCCAGACTTTGAGAAGTACAAGGGGGTCAGCTGCCCAAGGACCCATCTGAGATCATACTGTCGCAAGATGGCTGCTCATATTAACAACGACTTGCTCTTAATACATTACTTCCAAGATAGTCTCAATGGGGCATCATTGGAATGGTATATGGAGTTAGAGAAAGGACAAGTCAGTACGTGGAGAGATTTAGCAGACGCGTTTTCCCAGCATTATCAGTATAATACTGATTTGGCACTGAATCGCACCCAGCTGCAAGATATGACTCAACGTAATAATGAGTCGTTTAAAGAATATGCCCAAAGATAGAGATAATTGGTTGCCCGTGTTCAACCACCATTGTTGACCAAGGAGTTAACTGACATGTTTATAGGAACACTACAACCTCAATACTTGGATCGCATGCTTGGGTCCAGTTTCCCTAACTTCGCTGAAGTGGTGTCAGTAGGTGAAAGAATCGAGAGCCAACTAAAAAAGAACAAGGTTGCGGTCATCACAACAAATGGAGGAAGAAAGCCTTTTGTGAAGAAAAGGGAAGATGAAGCTAATGCCATAATGAGGGGTCGAAGAGATAGAGCTCTAGTGTAGATCCAATATCAACAAGTAGTTGCAGTAGCCCAAGCTCCTTATCAACAGCCAGCCCAACAGCAGAATCAACAACAGAATTATCAGAGAGTTCCTCCGCCGCAATACCAGAATGCTCCAGCTCAAAGACAATAAAGGCCAAGACAGCCAAGGAGACAGATTAATCTGTTGCCCATGTCATATGGATAAATCTTTGCTCAGCTAAATCAAAATGGACACTTAACATTGCGATACTTACGCCCGACAACCTTTCCCTATCCTCCTGGATATGATGCAAATGCTCGTTGTGAGTTTCATAAGGGAGCCCTTGGACACTCCATAGACAACTATTATGCATTCCAGAACAGAGTTCAAGACTTGGTAGAATCTAAAGACTTCACTTTCACTTCTAGAGGTGCCAATGTTAAGAACAATTCGTTACCTACACACGGAAGTTCTTCTGTCATTGCTGTGGAGGAGAGCAACGGTTTGAGACTGATTACAGATGTTGAGGATGTTCGTACTCCAATGACTGTTATTGGAGAGCAATTGAAGAAAAGTGGGATGATTCCCCAAGAAAAAGTGGAGAATTTGATTGATGAGTTGGTAAAGAAACATTTACAAAGATTTTTGGAGCAGGGAATAATACAAATAGAACGTCGAGACTC